CCACCCAAAAGCAAATACTTACAGAGAAAAGGTACAATTCAAGGATTCTCATTTCAAAGAAGATCCAGGAGTTCCGCTCCAGGCTTTGGTCAAATTATGACATTTCAATTGGTAAAGTCAACAACAGGAGTCACTGTGCACTTACTCCTCATGTAGGATCTCTGTCCTTAATGTGCTGTACATTGAGATTTAATGCTATAACGAGTACTCAAACAATATATTTCACTTTGTGTTTCTATGGGGGGTGCAAACTGTTGAAATTTTTACTTAATGCATACTAAACTGATCTTCTGTAAAAAAAAAAAAAAAAAAAGAAATTATCAATTCCCAACTTGACTCTCACTGGGATTAAACATGACAATAGGTCTGATCTGATTTCATCATCATTTAAAAAAAATCATCTATTATTTTTCACTTTATGTTTCTGTGTGGGAGCAAACCGTTGAAATCCTTACTTAATGTATACTAAGCTGATCTTCTGTATATTAAGATAATCGAAAATGAATCTTGATGTGAATGGAAGGGGAGAGGGAGTGGGAAAGGGGAGGGTTGTGGGTGGGAGGGACGGTATGGGGGGGAAGCCATTGTAATCCATAAGTCGTACTTTGGAAATTTACATTCATTTAATAAAAGTTAAAAAAAAAAGAAAATAAAGAGAGACCTGAAAAAAAATTATGACATTTAACAACAGAAGCACATTTAGCAGTTTCCCTCTTGCTTTGTGTGTTTCTGCCCCTCCTTGTCCTATAAGTGCTTACATCCTTAAGATCTTCCCACACCCAGGCCAGGTGGGAGCTCAGTACCATAAACTTGTAAAACCATCTTCAATGCCTTATTTTACAACATAGGAGAAGCTGTACTTGAAAGGGCCACCCATCCTGGATGACAGGAATGTTTATTTACTTCTCAGCTTTTACAACCTGAAACTCCTTAGACACAGACACAAAAGCTATCTCCAAGGGCAGTAATTGTTGGAGCAGTGCTGACAGTGAGGAAAGGTTATCTAGGTAGAGAAAGTATTCAAAGGCTTTTTGTGAATCACTTGAGAGCAGCTTTGCTAGCAACTGTTCTATTTTTTATTTAATTTATTCTTGACACTACTAACACCTGCAGAACACACTTAGCAACAAAACAAAAACAAATTAAAAATCCCTCCTCTTGTCCAATTGCCTAAAGAGATACAAAAATAAATAAATGATTACTGATTGCTTTGCAGTTTGGGGAGGAGGGATGGGGTGATGAGTGAAAATCTTCAAATTTTTTATTTCCCTGGCATCAAAATTGGACTTTCTGAGTATGTACTAATATTTCAGTTGAGGAGCAATGAAGCCAGTGCCTTCCTCTCTCCAACACAGTATAGTATCTCACTTAGTCTGAATATTGCTGTCTACTTCATTTCAGTATGAACCATGCTGCACTCTGAACTAAGGGAGCGTCTGAAAACATCAGGCTAAAATAATAAAATGTAAACACTGATAGCAGGATGAAGTTGGGTATTACAAAACCAACATATGAGCCTGTTTAAAGCTGTGATTTCTTGCTAATGTAAAAAAAAAGGAATTTAAACATACTTACTGGAGTATTCAAACTTCAGGGATTGGAGTGACAGTCCCCTCCAAAAAAAGTGGGAGCAAATTAATGTTATGAGGCTTATGAAATATTTGAGGACTCAAGATTATTAAGACATTGGAATGAGAATGACTGAAGGTGTTGAGTTTTGCCTTCTCTGGATACATTAACATATTATGTAGATCCACCTGTTCAACTTTCTTTAAAAAATTATTAGTATGGGTTCCCTGATAAAACAGAATGAAGAAATATTTTGAATGTACATGATATGGAAAGAGCTGGGTTCATGCAAGGCAGGGGACGAAAGAGAACTCCAGATTTGAATATAAAACATTTAAGTTAGAAATATCATAAAGCCACACCCTATGTCTCCCATATAGTCTTAGAACAGTGCTAAGCACATATCAAGATGCAAGCAAAAAATTAACAAGTAGGATCGGGTGTTGTGGTGCAGCAAATTAAGCTGCCACATGGGATGCCTGAGCGCCAAGGATTGAGTCCCAGCATCTCTGCTTCCTATCCAGCTTATTAATACTGACAGGCAGAAGATGATATACCTCAAGTGCCAATTACATGGGAGATCTAGATAGAGTTCCAGGATCCTGGCTTCAGCCTGGTCCAGTCTTTGCTGCATAGGCATTCGGGGAATGAACCAGCAGAAGGGAGATCTCTCTCTGCCTTCCAAGTATATGAAAATAAGTGAACATTTTAAAAAAGAAATATAGCTTTAAAATGAACAAGTACTTAATAAACATTGACTAATATGTGACCCCACTTACATGAGGCATCTAGAATCGAAAAATTGATAGAGACGGAAAATAGAAGTTAGCACAGCTCGGGGGTGGGAGGAGGGGTGCTACTGTTTAATAGGTACAGAGTTTCTTTCTGGGATAATGAAAATATTCTGGAAATATAAAGTGATGATGGTTGGGCAACACTGTGAATGTACTCAATGTCATTGAGTATTGCACAGTTATAATAGTTAAAATGTCAAAGTTTATGTTATGAATATTTTGCAGAAAAAAATATTTTAATGAAAAATATTGAGATTTTTGGTTGCATAGAAATAGTGATGAATGATCTCAGGAGGCTCTAACTGCCCCTTACAGAAGCAACTGGAACATGAACAGCCCGGCACGTATGTCAGAGGCCCAGCAAAGGAGAAGTGGGGCTAGTGTTGGGGCATCCAGAGTTGTAGGTAACTGAAGTCACTGTTCCCACTTCAAATTCCTCCGTGTGAAGGAAGCTTCCAGACACTTGAAGGTAGAAACCAAGAAACAATTACACAGGTTGGGGGTGGGAGACGGGAAGTGTGGTTAAAAGACCTGAGATTTGGTCTTAAATATCTTCCTTGCAGTTTGGATAACATTGCCTTTTCAGGTCTCAGTTCCCATTCCACAGATTCAGGTGATGTGACCACGCTTAGTGAAATAAGCCAGTCACAAAAAGACAAATACCATATGGTCTCTCTGATCTAACTAATAGAGCAATTAAAATGTAATCTAGGGGGCCAGCACTGTGGTGTAGTAGGTAAAGCAATCGCTTGCAGTGCTGGCATCCCATATGGGTGCCAGTTTGAGTCCCGCTGCTCCACTTCCAACCCAGCTCTCTGCTATGGCCTGGAAAATCCGTGGAAGATGGCCCAAGTCCTTCAGACCCTGCACATACTTGAAAGACTCAGAAGAAGCTCCTGGCTCTTGGCTTCAGATCAGACCAGTTCTGGCCATTTCGACTATCTTGAGAGTGAACCAGTGGATGGAAGACCTCTCTCTCTCTCTCTCTCTCTCTCTCTCTCTCTCTCTCCCTGCCTCTGCCTCTCTGTAACCCTGCCTTTCAAATAAATAAATCTTTTTTAAAAAATGTAATCTATAGGAGCAAAACTGACACTTTGAGATGCAATGACTTTGAACAGCTCTTGCCTTGACTGTTGGGAACAATGTTTTTCTTGTTTGTTTTTGTTCTTTACATCTTTTTCTTCTGCATACTAATCGGTGAACTCTCTACTTTGTGCAGGGTTAATCTTACGACTATAAAATTTAAGTGAAAATTGATCTCTGTAAAAATAAGAATGAGAAAGGAAGAGGAGGAGGAAGAAAGGCAGGAGCATGTGTAGGAAGAAGATAGGAGGGCAAGAAGCATCATGTTCCCAAATCTGTATATATTAAATGCATGAAATTGTATTTCTTACACAAAATAAATTTTTAAAAATTGATGTGACCAGGATGACATGGTCTCCACTATCTCTTTGAATCTCTGGTTCTAAGGCATCCTTATCTGCTTCTTCCTAAATAGTTCCAGCTTAAGCATGAGAAGAAAACACAGATTCCCATTTCTTTAGCCATCGTTATTCTTTTCTGGACTTTCCATTTTCTTCCTAGTTTTGTTTTTGGAAGAACAGGGATTCAAAGTGAATACAAGTTTCAAAAATTATACTTGGCACAGAATATGGAGGAGCCACCACTCAAAATTTCTGATTACTATAGCATAAACTTGCTGACTTTTTTTTTTTTGCTTTATTTTTAAGCAATAACACTGCACTGCTGACTCGTTTTTAACTGTTGATAAATGACAGTCATTGAGAATCAAGCTATATAGTAATGGGAACTATTTTTCTTTTTCTAGATTGGTTGGGTGATAAAAAGCAGCCTGATTACTCCTCAATAGGTAAGTATGAGAGTAGGAACAAAGGAACTTTTTATAACCGCCTTCCAGTATTTAGAAGCAATAAGGAACACTCAGTGGTTCTTTATCTAACCTGTAGTTCCTTTATTCAAAAAAAATTCACTCCACTCACTTATTCAAAGTTGCCATTAAAAAGAGCATTATTTAAATTTTTCACATTTAAACGTTTTATCTGCTATAATTCATTCCATTTCAAATTAAACAACTGTGGTTGTATCATAGAATGTCTGTACGTATAAAATGGTTAGGGTGGACTCAGCTTTAAAGCAAGTTTTCAACCAAAAGTGTGGTTTTGACCTGTGCTATGTGAAATACAAGTGTGATTGAGCAATTTTCTCTTCAATTCATGGATTTTGAAATAAATAGAGTAGATAGACCAAAAAGCCTACAAACACTTCCGTATTAATGGATGAAGTTACCCTAGAGAATAAAATTATAAGAAGAAATATCTATCAGCAGCACAAGAGGCTGACAAAGACCAAAATTATGAGAATCAAGTAGAATTGAACAACATATCCCACCACAGAGTAGTATATTAACAATACCACAAAGGAATTGTTTTCATTATGCTATTTTTAATATTTTTCTTGTTTTAAATTCATGTCGGATTAGATTCCTAAATCAGGCTTCGAGTTTATTGTTATCAGGAAACCCAGAAAGTTCCAGCATCATACAGATTTTCCTTAAAGGATGGTAAATCATAGCTTGAGGATATCAAAGGAAATCCAATAATGCATCAATCATAAGAACAAGTTTCATTCAAGATTATGACAAGCTACAATATGAAAATGTACAAGAGCTTTACTGGGTGACCACATAGTAATCTGATACAATACAAGATATATATACAATTTCAAGATATAAGAAACTGGATTATGAATGCTTGGTAGTATATTTTTTAAATTCCAACGTAACTTAAAATTTCTGTCAACACACATTTTCATGTACCTTTTGTGAATATTTTCCCTCTCTTTGGATGTCCTCTTTCCTACACCCAATACCCTGTGCTGGTCAGTGCACCTTTTCAATCATATTCCTCCTCCTGGATTGTGACCCATTCTCTATGAAGTTTCTTCAAAAGATCACATCCACCATAAACCTCCCAATGCTTCTAGGCATCAACCTGGAGTACCTTTCACACACACACACTTTCCATCTTCTTCCTCATGCTTTAGCTAACTCTTAATCTACATTCAGAGCTCCTGCAGAACACCTTCTTGGCATCCTCCCATCTGACACCCCGTAACTGGGCTTAATGTCTCATGTATGCATGAATATATGTATATATACATGTATATATACAGCATAATCTCTGTGTATACATGCAGACACATATAACTTATTACACTGTCCAGTTATCATAGCACTAGGACAATGTATTATTATATCATTTTCTGTTTCCCTCAATGGGAATGTTTCCTTGAGGAAAGATATCATTTAGTAGTCAACTTTATATATTTAACACTCAGAATAGTGGTTGGCTTATAGTACTTATTGTGTATGTTTAGTGATCAAATGAATGGATGAACGAACAAATGGTCAAAAGCAGGGCGAGGCCGTCTTGGTCTTCCTGAAGTCCAGTATGTAAGTGGCTATCTCCTCCAGCTGAAAGTGAACTTGATTCTCACTGTATTCCATAACAGATTCAACAGAGTTGGCAGTTTAGGTATGGGGCTGGGATAGAGAGAGAAGGAACGCAATTCCTTGTGGCCTAAAAACAAATAGCCTAAGCCAACTTCAAAATTCCACTATCTAGCAGGAGAATGACTGCAAAGCGATGGTGGTCAAGAGCATTAAAAATTAACTATACCTACTTTAGAATTTTATATGGATTAGCCCGGAAATGAGGGTGGTACCCCTGACACACTGAAGGAATACTAAATACTTGATAAAATAAATTGCAAGTGAAAAATCAAGCACTGAACAGATTTAAACAATTTTTTTTCTACTTAAGACAGTGACTCCCAGCTTAGACTACCAGCCTGAGCAACTTCAGAATGATGATTGAGATGAGCACACAGCCACCATTACCAACACTTTACCATATGCTTCTCAGGCAAAATGAAGAACTATTCCTCAAATGTAAAAAGATGACTAGGTGACTGAAAAAATCCCAATACATTCAAAGATAGTACTGAATCCATCATTAGCTTATCACTAAGGATTTCTTGGCTAATATAGGATAAGTATACAGCTACTACTATGAATACTCCTGGAAAGTGGTGGCATCATAGAAAATATCTCATGCCAACCAAAGGGCTGGGATTGCTAACTATGATTCTGAACTGACTTCTTCAGACAGTGTTTGACACATGTGAATTCCAGTGCCTCGATATATATACACACACAGGCTACCTCCTTGCTTCCTTTCACAGTGATGAATGAAATAAAAATTTGCAAGTGTTATTGATATGCATAGGAAGACTAGGTTTACTTCTGTAGTAATGAATTTGACATAACAAAAGGAAAATGAACACAAACACATATATTTAAAATCCTTACAAAAATATATCAATTTAACTTATTAGGTCTCCCCGCAGATCCACTATCAACACAAAGATACTGAAATAGTCCCTGAGCATGAATTGCCTACATTCACTCTCAGCTAAAGGAGCCCACTGGGCTGCTTTGTATTTGCTGTCTCGTTTTCACTTCATACACAGCTCCAAGTTCATTAGCCAAGTGAGTCCTCTTTAAGGTCAGCAACAGCCAACAGAGCAGGAAGAATAAACCTGAGCTCATCAGCAACTCTAAGGCAGGTTGATCGCCTGGTCCTCCTTGAATTTGGGGATCTTCTTAAACTCACTTTGCTTCCTGAAGAAAAGCTGGGCCAGGATGTGGTCTGCTGTGGCCTGGAGATAATCGTCCATGTCAAGGGTTTGCAGCTGCCGGTGTAAAGCAAAAGATATATCAGCACCAACTACTCAGACTGCTACAGAGATCCCACCGCTGCCAAGGCATTTACAGCTGTGTCACGTTACACAGCCACGAACTCCTGCGTAAGGGTCAGCTTGTGTGCCTGTCTTCCCTTGCCCTGGGGAGCACATCTTTCCAAGTCTGAGAAGTAAGGAAAGGGATGGCGAGCGGTGCTGAGGCATCTGAGGCTTTCTCTAGAAGGGACCCTGTCCTGCTGAAGCAGTTCCCTTTGAAGAGGACACAGTGCCATTTGTCTTCCTGGGAGCTGGGACTTCTCAGATCGCCAAGCCCAGAGGCAACAGCATGAGGCAGGCCTTGCTGCCAGGTAAGCAGTCCCAGTGTCCCCAGCCAGAGACTGGGTGCTCTCCACAGCTAGTCTAATGCGCTCTTTCTCTCTCTGTCCCTGTCTCTCTCCCCCTCCCTCCTCTCCTTTCTCCATCTGACTCCCCCAGTTTCTGCATGTGTGTGTCCTACTCTGTTTCTTCATCTCACTCTATGTCTGTGTCTATGCATTTCAGAATCTCTTTAGTGCTTCTCTTTCTGCCCACTTCTGTGCACAGGCCTGTCTGTACATGGATCCTTGTGAATCTGTGTCTCAGCCTCTCTGTGGTCTCTGCTCTTCTTTGTGTGTATGTCTTTGTCTCCTCCTATCTGTGTGTCCCTCTCTTTGTAAGTAGCTTCTCTGTGTCTTTCTCTTTCCATCTGTGTGTGTTTCTGTAATATATGTGTGTGTGTGTCCTTCTCTGTGTGTCTCTGTCCCACTGTGTGTGTGTTTCTCTCTAAGAGTGATTCTCTCTCACACCCTCTGCCTCTCCTTCCTCCCAAACTCTTCTTCCCCTTCAGACACCTTATTCAAAATACACTCCATTAGACAAACTTCCATTACCCACTCCATTGGGTCATGAGTGACTATCCCTCCTCCAAGTCTATGTCAGATGCTCCCGCAGATAGAAGCAGAGGTAAAAAATTCCTCCTACCCAAAATTCTGATTCATTTCTTTCTTCCTTGTTGTGAGTCATTCCTTAAATTGTACTTATTCACTTAAAACTCTGTATTTCTATTCTCTTGTCTTGCTTAAAGAATTTATTCCTTAATTTTGGGCTTGTATTTAATGGTTTTCAACTGTCATTTTCAAATTTAAAGCTTTGGGGCCAGCGTTGTGGTGAAGCTGGTTAAGCCACTGCCTGCAATACTGGCATCCCATAAGAACACTGATTAAAGTCCTGGTTGCTCTATTTCCAGTTCTGCAACCTGCTAATGAGCCAGGAAAAGCAGCAGAGAAAGGCATAGTGCTTGGGCACCTGCACCCATGTCGAAGACCCAGATAGATTTCTAGGCTCCTGACCTTGGCCTGGCCCAGTTCTGGTGGTTCTGGCTATTTGGGGAGTGAACCATCAGATGAAAGACACACTCTTTCTTTCTCTCTCTCTCTCTCTCTCTCTCTCTCTGCGTGTGTGTATGTGTGTGTCTTTCCCTTTCTCTCTGTAACTCTGTATTTCAAATAAATAAGTAAATCTTTTTTAGGACTGGCTTATTTCACTAAAATAATAGTTTTCAGTTACATCCATTCTGTTGCAAAAGACAATATTTCACTCTTTTTTATGACTGAGTAGTATTCCATAGTGTATATATGCAACATTTTCAGTCCTCAAAAAGACAAATATCATATGTTTTCTCTGATTTGAGGTAACTAACATACAGAGTACAAAAAATGTAATATATATGTATGAAATTGGCATTTTGAGATTTGTTATTGCTTGTAGCCCTTGTCTACACTCTTGAGGAACAGTGGCTTTTCTACTATTTATTGAATTCATTATTTAGTGGAGGGTTAAGCTTGTGATTATAAAATAAACTGAAAGTATTTCATTGTAAAAAATAAAAGAAAAATAAGAAACAAAGGAGGGAGGAGAGTGGGAGTATGGCTGGGAGAGAGGGTAGGGTGGGGAGTATCATTATGCTCTTAAATCTGTATATATGAAATACATGAAGTTTGTTCACCTTGTGTAAGTAAAAATAATAAAACAACTACAAAAATAGATAAATAAATCTTTGTTTAAAGTTTTAATTTGTTGGATTACCTTTTGTACAACATTGAATCTTATGTTTTCTAAAATGCATACTTTAATTCTATCTTTGTACACATAAATATATTTTACACACATAAAATTTTATTCTAGTCATTTTTAATTGTCTTCTTTTTTAAATGTTTATGCATTTATTACATTTATTTGAGAGGCAGAGAGAGAGAGAGAAATTTCCCATCTACTGGTTCACTCCCCAAATGTGCACAACAGCTAGGGGTGGTCTCAGCTAAAGCCAGGAACCAGAAACTCAATCCAACTGCCCTAGATGTGTGGCAAGGACCCAAGTACTTGAACCATCACCTGCTGCCTCCCAGGATGCTCACTAGCAAGAAGCCAGAATTGAAAGCAGAGCTAGGCTGGCGCTGCGGCTCACTAGGCTAATTCTCCGCCTTGCGGCGCTGGCACACAGGGTTCTAGTCCCGGTCGGGGCGCCGGATTCTGTCCCGGTTGCCCCTCTTCCAGGCCAGCTCTCTGCTGTGGCCAGGGAGTGCAGTGGAGGATGGCCCAAGTCCTTGGGCCCTGCACCCCATGGGAGACCAGGAGAAGCACCTGGCTCCTGCCATCAGATCAGCGCGGTGCGCCGGCCACAGCACGCTGGCCACAGCGGCCATTGGAGGGTGAACCAACAGCAAAGGAAGACCTTTCTCTCTCTCTCTCTCTCTCTCTCTCTGTCCACTCTGCCTGTCAAAAAAGAAAAAAGTAAAAAAAAGCAGAGCTAGGACTTGTACCAAGGCATTCCAATATGAAATAGGATATGGGCATCATAGCTGATGTCCTGTCCCCTACGTCAAAGGCGTACCCCTAATTCTTTTTTCTCTTTTTAGCTTTTAAAACCCTAACTTGCTATTTTCAACTTGACATTTTCCTTCTTTTTCATTTACATTTGATTTGCTTTGCTTTTGCTTTCTGATTTTTTCATATAAAGGCCATGAAGAATGGTGACAAGGTGGGGTAGCAGTGGCACTAAGACCTACACCAAAAGTAGGGGGGATCGCTGGAATCCTGCTCATCCCCCACAGAAGTCTCCAGCCAACTTTCAGTTCCAGCTTCTTCTCAGACCGAGCTCCACAAACCTTATCCCAAGTATGCTCAGGAAGGTTCTGAGCCCCAGGGAAACTGATAGGTACTGGAATTTCTCAGTTCCCTCAAAGCATATGGAATGGCATCCTGGGGAACCAGCATCACCGAGCAGGACCTAAGCCACCTGGGGCTGGGGCTCTGCTGACAATGCTGCGTAATTCATGCTCTACTCTTCCCTGGAGATCTTGCTGGGTCTCTTGCAGAAAGAACAAGAGCCAACAGAAATCTCTATTCCTGGACTTGCCCCAAGAGTGCAAAATCAGACTCATCATGCTCACCCAGTCTCACAAAGTAACCCAGACCTTACAATTTTTAAAAATCTAAGTTGCACAATTTATTACTGCTCCTCAGAGCCATTATTTCATCTTTGTTAGGAACTCTGGGGTGGATTTTTAAAAGCAAATGATTACTGTTTTATAAATAGAACATTAAATATTACACTTATTTAAAATAAATAATGATGGGAAGGAACATCACTTTGCTGCTGCTTTTTTTTTCTTTTCATGTAGAAGGCACTCCATTTCTTTATCTGTCTTCCTCCCTCTGCCCTGCTAGTACATTTGGGAAACATACACTGGGCAAATTCAATGCAGCTCATCCCTCTCTCTGTTTGGAGCCAGTTACTTTATGCTCTAGCTATACATAGGTTCAACGGCCTGTCTCAATATGGGAATGCCTATTCAATTCTAGGGGTCAATATTAGCAAAACTCACTTGCCCACAGATAGTAGTCACATTCTTTAATGTCTGCTTTATTAGTAACAAAAATAATTCCATGAACCTGTGTACACTTACTCCATAGTCTTTTTTTTTTCACAGTTAATAATTTGGGAAATTAAGAGCGAATGCGATATATCGAACCCCTTTATAATAAAATGAAAAGATCATTAGGTTCTCCTTCTCTTCAAACACTTTCCATCCAGTTCATTCATTCATTGAACATATGAGTTCTGAGGACTAGCTTTGGTCCAGACATTGTTTAGCAGGCCTCCAGCAACTTATCTGAAGGTACTTGATTCTCACCTGGTCTCCAGTGCTGAAGGCAAGGATGAAAAGCAAGTCCTCATCACATGTGCTCTTAATGTAATGCTGGGTTCCCACAGGGAAAAACACCACATCTCCAATGTGAATGCTAAACTCCATGGCACCCTGAGTATTGATAATGCCCACCTGGGAGAGAGGAAAGAATTATGTTTAAATTAAACAAGTAAAATCAAATATCCGATAAAGATAAGTACTAATAGCAAAGAACAGATAAATAAAAGCATATGGGGGCCGGCGCTGCAGCTCACTAGGCTAATCCTCCGCCTTGGGGCGCCAGCACACAGGGTTCTACTCCCGGTCGGGGCGCCGGATTCTGTCCTGGTTGCCCCTCTTCCAGGCCAGCTCTCTGCTATGGCCCGGGAGTGCAGTGGAGGATGGCCCAAGTGCTTGGGCCCTGTATCCACATGGGAGACCAGGATAAGTACCTGGCTCCTGCCATCGGATCAGCGCGGTGCGCCAGTTGCAGCGCGCCGGCCACAGCGGCCATTGGAGGGTGACCCAACGGCAAAGGAAGACCTTTCTCTCTGTCTCTCTCTCTCACTGTCCACTCTGCCTGTCAAAAAAATAAAAAATTAAAAAAAATAAAACTAAAAAAAAATAAAATAAAAGCATATGGGTTACACAGGGACTTCTTTGCGAGGCTGAAAAGCAGAAGACAGGGACCACCCCTCACATGAAACTTCCTATGCCAGAGACACAGCCCCACCAAAATGAAACAATGCTCTGTTTAGGTAAATGTTCCTCAAATTGCAGTAGTGAGTTTATACAAAAAGGATCTCATTTGCTGTATTCTAAATGAAGACTACAATTATGTTTCCTACACATTAGGCAGAGGATTTACATTTCAATGTGTCACTACTCCCATGCCCTTCTTCCCACTTGGCTGGGAAAAGCCAGTTTTCCGAGAGCAACATCCTAAGTCCTGCTTAAAAGAGTTAGAGGGTAAATGTGTGCACACAAGCACACACACAAGACACAGCAAAGCAAAGTCTGGTCCTTGAAGGGGAATGTGTAAAAGATTATAATGCCCTTTCCTAACTGATTAAAGCCTTTAACTCAAGAAACATAAAACAAAGCTTTTACTATAGATGGCATAATGAATGAAATTTATTTTGGCCTTAATTTTTTTTTTAAGATTGAGAAAAGTACAAGCTAGAGAAGCCCGTTCTACCTATGTGTTCCTTGAAAATTTCCCCAAGAAACCATGAAAACATGGAAGAATCACTGTCCGATAACTACAGTAATAGACCACACAGCTTTTCCTATGATACCAAAATAATTGATCATCTAAACCAGGCTCTCGAAGAGTCAAAGCAGTTGTTATCAATAATTTCATAAACACAATTTGGATTTATTAGAAGTATTCTGGACACACATTGATGATCCACACACCCCCAGCTACCCAACTCACATGACACTGAGAAGCAAAGTTATTTCATATTCCCCCCACAGTGTAGCACCTTCCACTTTGCATTACTTGAGGATAAAAATCTATAAAATCTAAGGTAGGCATTCTAGTCCTCTATAATAAGAGATAACATCTTAATCATTTTTGAAATACTTAGCCTCTTCTCATGAACAACTTGAATCTTCCTGTCATATCAAACTTAGAAACTATTTAACAGAGCCTGCATGGTATCCTCCATTGAAGCTGTCCCAGAAGCCATTAGAATTGAGTCCTTTTATGTTACTAATACTGGACCAAATGAAGAAATACCTGTTGTTTGCTTCTTTCTACATTAAAAATAGAAAGCCCACAAAAATGTTTACTAAGAAATTACCTTTCCACATCCACTTAATACGTATCCCATTTCATTGGCATTAAAGTGGAAGTGTGGTTGTCGTAATCCATTATTATAAACTCTGAGTGTACTCAAAGAAAGGGCATTTTGATGCTTAGAAAAGAAAAAAAATACAGTTATTTAGGTAACATCATACTCAGCAACTCAACAATTCATACAGTCCTAATAACCTAACATAGCCTTCACTGAGAACAAGCAGTTTTTTATGCCCTTTATATTTATTGTTTCACTTATTCCTTACAACAATCTTATAAGGTTGATAGTATTCATCTCCCTTATTTTACAGGTGATAGAATTAAAATCTAAGTTGATTGAGAATTTATCTAGTCATTAAAGCAAAGAAGTGGCAATCTGTGGCCACAACAATGCAAGTATAGCCATTTGAGAATTTTTTAAACTGAAGAAAAAATAATTCTCACAGCACTGAGTTTTTTCATTGAAGTGACTACCCATGCCAAAGATGTTCCCAAATTCAAATTGGAACCTCAATTAACAGTTCATGTTGGACAAATCAACCAATGTTTGATTAGATCTTTCCTTTCCATTTTTTTCTAAAGAAACCTGAATTCAACCAAAATCTCACATTTCATGTATATTAGTAATGTTCATTAAAACATTTTTCTCATTTACCTGGTTTAGGAATTCACTAAATATTTTTTCATTGTTGCTTAGTTCACTTCCATCTTTCCAATACTGTGCCCACTGTATTACTCCTCCTGGATATTGATATTCTTTTGAACCTGAGACAGATAAAGTTTACAAAACACAATAAGATAAAACACTTCAAAATGATATCCCAACAGAGCACCTGTAAAGTATACAACCTTACTATAGTCACAGAAAACTTATAATAGAAATTGCTGATACCAAACCATTTAGGCCTCAAAGATACTGACTTAAAAGAGTCAGATACCACTTTCTAAGCCCAGTTTCTAATCCTACTTTCTAAGCTCTCTTGAAATTTGTAACACAAAGTATCCTCTTTAGAGCAGTTTATCTCAGGGGAACTGGCTAGAAAACCTGAGAGTAATTCTAAACACCATTCTCTACCTTATCATTTAAGTCAGTCAACTATCAAGTCCTGACTGTCCCACCTATGTTTTTTTAAATATTTATTTATTTGAAAGAGTTACAGAGAGAGGTAGAGACAGAGAGAGGGAGAGAGAGGGGTCTTCCATTTGCTGGGTCACTCCCCAGATTTTTAAAACATTAATATATTTATCTGAAAGTCTAAATTACAGAGAGAGAGAGAGAGAGAGAGAGAGAGAGATCTTCCATTCCGCTGGTTCACTCCCCAAATGACCACAATGCCCAGAGCTGGGCCAACCCGAAGCCAGATGCCTGGAGCTTCAGCCTGGTCTCCCACATGGGTGCAGGGACCCAAGCACTTGTCCCATCTTCTACTGCTTTCCCAGGCACATTAGCAGGGAGCTGGATCAGAAGTGAAGCATCAGAGACTTGAATTGGCACCCATGTAGGATGCTGGTGCTGTACAGGCTTAGTCCGCTATAGCACAGCAACAGCCCTGCCTCCATCTCTTTAAATTCTTTGCTTCACAACAATTTTCTCCCTTTTACAGCTGCAATATGTGGGCCACCACTACCCCTTACTTGAAGAGCTATGAGAGAACCTTGATTCATCTGCCACTGGCCCCTTCAAGATCATCCTCTACAATAGAGCCAGAGTGATCATCACTTCAAACAGCAAAATGAATTATGGCATATTCTTTAGCATTGAGATTCTGTATAAATTCCTTAACATGGCTTCTAAAATCCTCACAGTTGGACTCTTCTCTCCTATGAGCTTCATCCCTTGTAACACTCTTGGATCCAGCACTGAGATCCTTTACACTTTGAAAACTGTCACATTCACTTTTGCCTCCAAGCCTTTCTTTCCATTGCCCGTTCTACTAAGAAATATTTTTTTAAATTTCTGAGTATGTCCCAACATTAAAAAACACATGGTAACCCAATACACATTTACAATGATATAAAAAAATGAACATTAAGAGTTTCAAAAACTTTTTTTTTTTTATACTAAACTGATCTTCTGTAAAACAAAAAAATAACAAAGAAACTATCAACTCCCAACTTGACTCTCACTGGGATTAAACATGACAATAGGTCTGATCTGATTTCATCATCATTAAAAAAAAAATCATCTATTATTTTTCACTTTATGTTTCCGTGTGGGAGCAAACCGTTGAAATCCTTACTTAATGTATACTAAGCTGATCTTCTGTATATTAAGATAATCGAAAATAAATCTTGATGTGAATGGAAGGGGAGAGGGAGCGGGAAAGGGGAGGGTTGTGGGTGGGAGGGAAGGTATGGGGGGGAAGCCATTGTAATCCATTATTCGTACTTTGGAAACTTATATTCATTAAATAAATAAAAAAAAAAAGATGAAGTGTGTAGCAAATATAAAAAAAAAAAAAGAGTTTCAAAAACTATAGGTATACTATACCTTTAAGGTCAAAAAAGTATCTCCACACAAGGCTGTCTGGAGACTGTACATAACTAGCATTCAAAACCAATTCTGCCAAATTTGGAGGAAGATTCACCCCCTGATCCTCTTCTTGCTTGTGGAATGCTCTAATATAATTAATTCCACCTTCAGGCTGAAACATACAAGAAATTGCATAAAGTATTTATTCAATATTCTGTGAATTTTAGTCATAGGAGGGGTGAGAAGGTAAGGATATGTTAGCATTAGCACCACTGAGATTTTCAGTGATCAGAAGAGCTGAGCTTGATTAGCTCTAGGTTTGTGTCACTTATGAAAATCCCCAAAGTTTTCAATGTAGTTTGGTTTTAAATGTATTGAGTTTTTATGGTAAATACTCATAAACTCCTGCAAAAATATACATTTGTTCCCATGCTTATAAATAATCTGACTAGTGAGTTATTTCTCTTACTTCTCCCTACAGCTCTAAACTAGCATCAACTACAAAAATGTATCTCAAAAACTTACTACACACATGTTTAAGCTTAAGATAGAACCTCCTCCAACTGCCAATTATGGGCCATCACCAATTTTCTTCACCCATCTGCACAATCAACATCCATATCTGACCTTCTTTTTTTTCCCCCAAAGAAAACTTTTATTTAAGGAATACAAACTTCATGCATTTCCTAAGTACAACTCTAGGAATACAGTGATTCGTCCCACCATACCTGCCCTCCCACCCACACTCCCACCCCTTCTCCTCCCTCTCCCATTCCAGTCCCATTCTCCACTAAGATCCATTTTCAGTTAACGTCATACATAGAAGACCAACTCTATAGTAGGAGTCCAACAAATTGTATGAAAAAGAGAAAACTGTTCCTCAGCAGTCGAGGCAAGGGCTGTTCAAAGTCACTGCATCTTGAAGTTAGTGTCACTTCTTTTTCGTTTTGAAGAAACTTAATTAACTTTAAAGAAGAACCCAATGTGGAGCTCAGTTATGAGTAATTAATTCAAACCCTAAATTAGCTTAGACTAAGTACATTTGGAATTAAGACTTAATGTGTAATATGTTAAGATTAAGTGATATGAAATATGGGGCAACATATTAAAGTGAAGCTAAATTTTAGTCTTAGGAGCTTTTAGGACCTGTTGCGAGAACTGCCGTTCCTCCATGACAGGCCTTATTTTAAGCCAGAAAAGACAGGCCTAAGGGTACAGGAGTGAAACTATGCCTGGAATTTAGATTCTTCGGCCTTCCTGTGTGATGCCTAGCCCCTAAGTTGCTCAAATGCACCAATAAAATGCATAAATTCAGGTAATTGCCATGTAAGGAATAAGGAACTCGCCTATGTGTGTAGTTGTCACTCCCCCTGTTCGTGGAGGAACGACACTAAACCCTGCCTAGGCTTCATATCCGAGTCACGGCACCATTATGTCGCTCCCCTTCTTCATGGAGGAACGACACAGGACCCTGCGCTGTTCTTTCGTCTGCTCGGCCCTCCCCGGGTTTGCTGCTGGTTCTTCCCGGGTTGGCTACCGTCCCTTCCACCTCCGTGGAAGGGCGGTTCCCCCTGCCACATTCCCCACTTCCGCGGGGGAGCGGCACACCGCCGGCCGGCTCTCTCGGGGGCTGCACAGGTGTTCCTTCAGGTAGATGTTCCCCTCAGATGTTCCTCGTGCATGTTGTCTCTCTCCTCCTTTATAGTCCTCTTCCGCCAATCCCAACTCGGCTGCCCACACGCCGAGTACGCTGCTCTCCTCCAATCAGGAGCGGCTCTTGCAGCTTGTCAAGTTGGTGAGAGGCAGCTGGGTAGAAGCTGTACGCTCCTCTCCCAGCGCCACATTGTGGGAGAGCAGATGCATAGAATAAGACTTAATTCCAGTAACTCAGTCCAGTCCGGGTTGCTCCCCACATGTAGTGACATATGTACTTGTTTACTCGAGTGCATAGAAATGCTGGGAGGGGAAGGGACGGGGCTTCTTGCCTCAGCACTGCGCTACGTCGCATGTACCGGTAAGAGCCCACCTAGCTGGTAATAAAATCCTCTTGCTGTTGCATCCAGCCTGCCTTTTGTGAGTTGTTTTGGGGAGAGTCTCGTACCAGACACAACACCAAGAATGATACATCTTTTGCGAGTATTTAAACATAATTAAAATACAACTCTTTGAGGACAGAGGTCCCACATGGGAAGTAAGTGCACAGTGACTCCTGTTAATTTAACAATTAACATTCTTATGTATGAAGCCTTTTAAATCCACAATCTCTGTCAGTATTTAGACAAGGCCATAAGCAAAGTAGAAGTTCTTTCCTCCCTTCAGAGAAAAATACCTCCTTCTTTGATGACCACTTCTTTCTACTGGGGCCTCACCCACTGAGGTCCTTCATGTAGGACATTTTTTTTTTTTGCCACAGTCTCTTGGGTTTCCTTGCCTGAAATGCTCTTGTGGGCTTTTCAGCCGGACCAGAATGCCTTAAGGACTGATTATGAAGCATATCTGACCTTCTATAACCAGCATTAGTAGTTACCACCCCTCTTCCTGGTGACAATATAAATATTTTGAGAGATCAAAGGTAGTGATTTTTCAGGAAAAGTGTGAGGTTTTCTACATGAGATTAAGAAAACATGATTACATTATCCATAGCAAACTTGTTCCTGCAAAAAGAATGGTGAGTTTATGACGCTTCAGGGATATTAATTACAATTATTTTTTACTAAATGTATAATAATATTCCTTCTAAAACATTATAATCTCCATAGAGGACCTTTCTAAAGCTAAATACAAAGCAACTCAATTTCAACCAGTTTTCTGTCTTTAGTGGGAACACAAGATATGCTTTTGTGTCCATTATCCCAACTATTATCATATCTTAGTCAATCTTTTCTGAAGCTATACTGACTAATGCCCTAGAAACAGGATATGCAGGATCACTTTGTACCCACATGATTCCTAAATTTATGGTGAAATACATTTTCTGAAATGGAATGTACCTTAAGTGACCTGGAAGCAATATCTTCAGGTGTAGAAAAAAAGACATCATCAACATCCAAGGTCTGAAGTTCATCATGTGTAGAAAAGAAGAGCAAGAAAAAGCAGTCTTCATTCCCCACATTCTTTATCCAGTGCAGTGTATTTCTAGGGAAGAAGATCACCTGGCCAGCAGTAACATTGTACGTGGTAACCACTTCACCACCAGCATCAACAACCCCAATCCATGCTGTGCCCTGAAATATAATGAGGAGAGCATACCCAACATTCACTGTAGAGTAAAGCTTCTCAATCTTTTTTATTACCTTCCTTCTAAGTGAATTTTTGGGACTTTTTTCCCTATCGCCACCCTATGAAATTTTAATATCACAGATATACTGTAGATCAGTACACTATATACATACACTGCATATGTACTATGTATATAGTATATATCCCTAAAAAGAGTTGGGGTTTTTTGTTGCCCACCAAAAACTTGAGGGAAAAACTTCCCCATTGAAACTCCACATCTTGGAGTTTGAAAATACTGAAGCAGGGGCTGGTACTGTGGCGTAGCAGGTAAAGCCGCCCGCCGCCTGTGGCACCATCATCCCATATGGCATCAGTCTGAGTCCCAGCTGCTCCACTTCTGACCCAGCTCCCTGCTATGGCTCCTAGGAAAATAGCAGAGGATGGGTCAAGTGCTTGGGCCCCTGCACTCACCTGGGAGACCCAGAAGAAGCTCCTGGCTTCTTGCTTCAGACTGGCTCAGCTCCAGCCATTACAGCAATTTGGGGAGAGAACCAGTGGATGGAAGAACTCTCTCTCTCTTTCTCCCTCCCTCTTTCTCTCCATAACTCTACTTTTCAAATAAGTAAATTAAAAAAAAAAAAAGACTGAAGCAACATGTGTAAGATGTGTGTTGATAGGTGATCACACAAGTATATACATTTGTGTTCATATATGCATATAGATGTATTTGTGCTTCCCAATAAGAAAAGATCCAAGTATAATGTTAATGATAATAATAATAATAATAATAGCTAGGGGCTGGTGCTGTGGTGCAGTGAGTTAAAGTCCCAGCCTGCAGCACTGGCATCCTACATGGGTGCCGATTCGAGTTCTGGCTGTCCCTCTTCCATTCCAGCTCTCTGCTATGGCCTGGGAAAGCAGTGGAAGATGGCCCAAATCCTTGGGCCTCTGCACCCATGTGGGAGACTTGGAAGAAGCTCCTGGCTCTGGCTTAGGATCAGCTCAACTCTGGCCATTGTGGCCAATTGGGGAGTGAACCAGCAGAATGGAAGACCTCTCTCTCTCTCTCTCTCTCTCTCTCTGGCTCTGCCTTTCTCTGTAGATCTGACATTCAAATAAATAAAATAATTCTTAAAAAATAATAATAATAGGCCAGCACCGCGGCTCAATAGGCTAATCCTCCACCTAGCGGTGCTGGCACACCGGGTTCTAGTCCCAGTCGGGGCACCGGATTCTGTCCCAGTTGCCCCTCTTCCAGGCCAGCTCTCTGCTGTGGCCCGGGAAGGCAGTGGAGGATGGCCCAAGTGCTTGGGCCCTGCACCCCATGGGAGACCAGGAGAAGCACCTGGCTCCTGCCTTCAGATCAGCGTGGTGCGCCGGCCGCAGCGCACCGGCCGTGGCGGCCACTGGAGGGTGAACCAACGGCAAAAGGAAGACCTTTCTCTCTGTCTCTCTCTCTCTCACTGTCCACTTTGCCTGTCAAAAAATAATAATAATAGCTAAACTTGGTGATTATACTATGTGGCAGGTGTTCATCTAAGCACTTTATGTACGCTATAAAGCATAGTACTATTATTATCCCCATTTTAAATATGAGAAAACTGAGTTTGGAAAGAATTAATAATTTTCCCTTGCACTAGGCTGACCAATGGCAAAGCTGGGATTTTGATGTAAGCAGTCTGACTCCAAAGTATATAATTTTATCCATACTACATCACAATTTGATTAAATCTATACAAAATTATATACTTTTTCTCATTCTCTAATCTGTCCCTCAGTATTACCTCTGATGTAAATAGAGAAAATACCATTATGTATGTCTACCCAAGACTCATGATCACATGGCAGCACATCCACAGAATGAATGAAAAACATATCTTACTTCTGTCATTGGCAACTTGTATAATTTGGATCCAGATGATATGGAAGTTAGAAGGGAAACTGAAGCTGCAGAGAACTCTGTTTGGCCATGTGTAGGGAATGGCACAAATATGTATCTATTTCCATGAAGGCATCAACTACTCCAGACCCAGAGCATAGACCACTCAGGGCTGAAAGGGCCCTCGCTATGGGGCTAAGTACACCAACAACCCTGTGCGTGTGCTCTTCTCAGGGCTCCCTCCAAGGGCTGTATAAAGACACTCAGGAGCAAGCTCCATGGAGAAATTTCTTTACAATTATTGGTTGGTCCTTACCATGATTATGATAATTTTCTGGGATCTAGAAAATATTCAACTCCATATAGTCTCCACTTAGAAATTCACATTATAAACTCTCTGAACTTCCAGAACAGCCTCCACAGGATAAGCTAGATCCCAGGGCCTGGAGTGTGTTCCAGACCAATTTCTCTGGCTTAAAGTTTGGTTTTAAAGGTCTCCCTCCAAGAAAGCCCATATAGTTACATTTTCTTTTTCCTACTGCTTTGTCACTGCTCAACAAAGTCTATAAACATTCATCTTTCAGAGATTATACTTTTTTATATATTGCATAAAAGTGGAAAATCCAAGAAGTCATAAACATGAACTATGTCACAAAGCAACCAATGACTATAGCTTAGAAAAGTCAACCAATCTCTCTGAGCCTTTCATGAGAAATAAGAACACTTTGGTCTCAAACAGATTAATCTCTATGTTGTAAATTCTAAAATGGGTGAACTATGCAAGTGTAAATGAGGAAGTTTTACTTATAACAACAAAAATTGTACCATAGAATTGGCTGCACATCTATTAACCAGATCATGAGTATAAGAATAAACTTTGAAAGTTCTACAAGGGTTTAGTCACTACTGCTCCCACAGGATCTGGAATATAGAAGACCAATGAATGGTTTCTAGAATTAAGGAATTATTTGAAATTTAAGTAAATACATCCATTGTACCACCAGCTACTATATTTCATTTGACTTCGAGAACATTCTGAAAGGTCTGAACCACAAAAGGGCACCCAGTTGGCAAGTTCTTAGGAACTCCAGGCTGAACATCAGCAAACATGTTTGTTATTCTGGTTGCTGCTTTTCTCCTTAGAGGAAAGCTGCTGGGTCTTTGATCATTAGATCAGAGCTGCCAGTTGTAGCTTTGGCTCAGAAGACTAAACAGTGATCTTACTTAAACAATAGTGTGTGAAAAATGATTTCATACTAAAGAAAGAAGTTCAAAGTGATGCCAAAAATAATTAAACCAAACATGCTAATGCTTCAAGGCACTGCTAACTAATCCAGTTAAATCTAATTGGAAGCCTGCATGTTTGTGCATCAGTTAGGGAGGTTTTGCAACAACAAAAATAATACCCAGAGGTCAAAAAACATAGATGCTTAAGAAGAGTGTGGACAAACCAGTTATACCTGTGCAAGATAGCCATGTTCATTGGCATTGAAGTGCCAGTGAGGGGCCCGGAGGCCATTGCTTTTTATTCTCAGGGTCCCCAGAGTCATTTGTGATCTCTGACTGTTCAAACTGGTACCAAAGGCCTCTTCTTCGTCAGTGAGATAGTCTTTGACATTGCTTCTGTACCGGGCCCACTGGATTGCACCACCAGGGAACTCAAACACCTGAAAAATTGTAAATGAGCAATCATCAGCATGGCAGCCATCTCCATGAGGCCACTGTGACCTACGGGGATAGATTCTCAAGTCCCAAACAGGAAGACGAGGAAGAGGTCTGCAAGACTCCAGGAATGCTAACAGTGACCTGTTCAGTGCTAACATTCTGAGCCCTGTGAGACATAAAAGCCACATAGCTTGGTAAGGGATTACAGGCATTGCCACTTGTCAACTTGTGATTCTCCCCTCAAGCCAGGTATAGAACTGTCTGCTGAAGAGAATTTCTGCCTGAAGCCATCACCAACTGAATTCTCCCTGCTCTCTGTCCTTTACCTCCCTTCATCCTGTTGTTCCAACAGAATAGAGCTTGGTAAACAAGCAGTGAGAAAGTGGTTTTGAAATCATCATTAAGAATGCTGGCTTTTCCTAATATGTGGGAATTGTACCTGAGATTTAGGTAAATGATTCAAAAACTGGAATTTTGGATCAACAGTCTTCTGTGCTATGGGAACCACTGTTGTTCGCATAGGCCGGGCTTCAGGTTCAAAATGAGCATCTGAATGACGCTGAGAGTTGTTAACAAAAACCAAGGAGAGAATCAGTACTCCAACTGCGGTGGTAATAATGCAGGCCAAGAAACACATCAGGAAAATGCTCATCAATGACCACTGCTGCTTCTTTTCCTAGGAAAAAGTATGGAGCAATTATCATCCACTCACAATGCATCAGAAATATTGCCTCCTCTCTCAACTTCCTACATTTTTCTCTATTCTAACTTCAGTTAAAACTGTCTGGTAAGCATAGTAAAAGAATCTATTTTTTAAAGTAGACTTAAAATTTAGGCTTTCTTTATCTACATATATATAAATATAAATATATATATGTACTTGATGTTGAATCAGGAAATGATAAGAGCAGGAGGAACTACTTTTCTTCCTTTTTTTTTTTTTTTTTTTTGGACAGGCAGAGTGGACAGTGAGAGAGTGAGAGACGGAGAGAAAGGTCTTCCTTTCCCGTTGGTTTACCCCTGCAATGGCTGCTGCAGCTGGCGCACTGATCCGAAACCAGGAGCCAGGTGCTTCTCCTGGTCTCCCTTGCGGGTACAGGGCCCAAGCACTTGGGCCATCCTCCACTGCACTCCCGGGCCACAGCAGAGAGCTGGACTGGAAGAGAGGCAACTGGGACAGAATCCGGTGCCCCAACCGGGACTAGAACCCGGGGTGCCGGCGCCGCAGGCAGAGGATTAGCCTATTGAGCCATAGCGCCAGCCCCTACTTTTCTTAAGATAACTGACCTACAGTCTTTCTGAGCTCTGTGTAAGGGTCCTGGTGGAAACTAGCCTAAGGATATATAAAAAGAAATTTTGCATTGGAAATAATCCTAAAGATCCTAGTTGAGCCTTTATGTCATATTTTTCTGAAAAGGAAACTGAAACCAAGGGAGAGCAGGGACTGTGGAAAGCTGCACTCTTTTAGTGGAAAGAAGTCATCCTGCCTCAGTGCTGTTTGCACTACACCACAGGGCTACCATTGCATATCATTTGGAGATCATAAAAGCTTGCATTAATACTTATGCTGCAGAGCTTCCCAAAAAAGCTTAAGCTTACAAACATCTCTAAGGTCACATTTTGGTTAATTAAAAAAAAAGAGCATATAACTGCATATATCCTAAAGAGTATTGCTTTACTGGATATTGATATTTCTTCCTTAATCACTTGGCCTTGATCAATGTTTTTCAAACTTCTTTACCACACCCATATTAGAATATATATTTCCCATTGTGATCTAGCACAACACACAAATACATACATATATACATGTATATACACACATGTACACACAGATCATTTAAGCAAAAGTTTCACAAAATAAAACTTGTTATTTTATTAATGTTTAAATGCCAACCCTAACCCACCATATATATGTCAAGAATAGAAGATTACAGTCTGGAGTTTGCAAACCCTCTGCCTGGATCCCTTTAAATAGAAGAGAGGAGAAATAGTTATTCTGCCTCCTCAAATTGATAAAGCAAACGTTATAAAAAGGCGCAAGGAAGAATCAGTTGAAACTAAAAATAAAAATAAAAATTGCTCCCTTTAACTTATCTAAAGGTCACTGATCAGCATGGATAAAAACATTGCCTCTAAAAGGCAACAATTTAGGGGCAACTATGATAAAAATCATTGCACTTGAAGCACTTAGTCATCCCCGGAGTTCCAATTTAAAAAGTCACCAAGGAGCTCAAGCAGGTGTGAGTTAGAGTTTTCAAAATAAAAGACAAATCCTTTTGAAGAGGGTCACTTGAGAAGAGCTGGTCTAAGGAGGGGTTCTTCCTCAAGCTCTGCATCACAGTCCAGAGGGAACCTGTGCCCAAGATGTGAATCCCCACATTACCGTGCCAGTGAAGGTGCTCGCCCTCCCCCTGGGTATAGCACTCTGTGCTGCATCTTCAGCGATTTCAAATGCTGCGTTGTCCATTGGCAAAAAGGATCAAGCACTTCACTGGGAAAAAAAAAAGAAAAAGAAAAGGAAGAGGGAAATATTTAGCAAACTGGGAGCTCCCTGAGAAGAGAAGAATGAGAATTCTTAAGTAAGGGAACACTTATATACAGCTGACAGTTAAGGAAATGAAATAAGGAAGCTGTCTCTTAAATTATATCTTGGTTTCAAAAAAACCCTTGGAAGAATTGCCAAATGAAAGACCAATAAAATACTTCCTTTGGTCCCTAACTTTTTGCTCAGTAATGACACATACAGAGATAATGATAATAATATGAGCCAACATTTATTTCTTCCTCTCACTATATTCCAGGCACTGTGCTAAATGTTTTACAAACATTATGTGATGTCATTGTTACAGAAATCCCATCAGGATATAACGCCCATTTTGCAGATTTGGAAACTGAACACAGAGAGCTGCAGAAACTGCCTAAAATCACAGAACCAGTTTAGTGTTGGTGCAAAGTACCTTTTATCCTAAGATTCTTCCATAATATTGGTTTGCTGATGATGGATGATTGGTCTAGTAAAATCTTATCTGCACTCAAAGCAGTCTTGACTCTAAATAATGTGACTAATTTTCCTAATGATATATGGAATAATCTTGTTACCTGAAAGTTAAACCTTCACATAAAATTAATTTTGCATCATCTTTCTTGGTGATGACTGATGGCCTGAGTAACCTAAAAACTGCTACTCTAAGACACAAAACAATCATCTGTCTTCTTTTCTTCCTATCCACCTTTGTTCTTTCAATAAATATGTTACCTAATATATTCCTGGCTGTCTACTGTGCTGTACAACATTAAGAGATCTTGGAGTAACTCATAATATGAATAAGAGAAACCAGAAAATTACTACAAATTTGCTGAGTGTTATGATAGCACAGACAAAAACTTGTGAGCATACAGATACGAGTATGACTGTGCCTGAGAAGGTAAGAGAAGGCAGGTCTTCACTGAAATTGTAATTGTGAGCTGAGCCTTCAACTCCCAACAGCTCCACTGGGTAGGCACACTTGGTCAGTTACTTTCTACTCCGTATTTGTTGCTTGTCTATAAGCAGCTCCAGAGCAGACCATGGAGTCAGAATGCAGATGTGAATCAGGCAGCCTGGGCTCAAACAAAGCTGTAGGCTAACCTAAACCCAAGCAATGGAGAGTTGACCTCGTTCTCTTACCAGACTTCATCAAATCTAATAGGCATAGTTTTCTATGTTTTAACAGCTCTGTGTTTTAAATGAACAGTCTTGGGGCCTGTGTTGTGGCATTAGCTGATAAAACTGCCAGCTGTGATGCCAATATCCTTTATGGGAGCAGGTTCCTGTCCTGGCTGCTGCATTTCCAACCCAGCTTCCTGCTAATGGCCTGGGAAAAGCAGCAGAAGATGGCCCAAGTGTTTGGGCCCCTGCCACCCTCATGGGAGACCTAACGAAGTTCCTGGCTCCTGGCTTCAGTCTGGCCCAGCATTAGCTGTTGCAGCCATCTAGGGAGTTAACCACTGGATGGAAGATGTCTGTGGCACCCTCTAACTCCTTCAAAGTAAATAAATAAATCTTTTAAAAATAATAAAATCAGCAGCCTTGGGGCAGGCATTTGGCATCGTGGCTAAAATACCTCTTGCCATGCCTACATCCTATATTAGAGATTGGATTCATGACCACGCTCTGCTTCTGACCAGCTTCCTGCTAACGTGCACCCTGGAAGGCAGCAGATAATGACTCAAAATCTTGGGTCCCTGCCAACCACGTGGGAGGTCCAAATTAAGATCTGGGCTCTGGGGCCAGTGCCATGACACACTAGGTTAATCCTCCACCTGTGGCGCTGGCATCCCATATGGGCACCGGGTTCTAATCCCGGTTGCTCCTCTTCCAGTCCAGCTCTCTGCTGTGGCCCGAGAAAGCAGTGGAGGTTGGCCCAAGTGCTTGGGCCCCTGCACCTGCATGGGAGACCAGGAAGAGGCATCTGGCTCCTAGCTTCGGATCAGCGCAGCTCCAGCTGTTGTGGCCATTTGGGGGTGAACTATTGGATGGAAGGCGTTTCTGTCTCTCTATATATATATCTGTAACTCTAGCTGTGAAATAAATAAATAAGCTTTAAAAACAAACCAAAAAAAGATCTGGGCTCCTTGTTTTGGCCCAGTTCAGCATGACCTGTTGCAGGCATTTGTGGAGTGAACCAGCAGATGGAAGATCTTGCATCTCCATCTCTCATGCGCGCTCTCTCTCTCTCTTTCCCTCCCACCCCCAATTAGAAGACAAAATGAAATATAGTGGTTTTTTAGAGTCAATGAACATAGTATGACCACTTATGACAACAGAACCACACAAATCTTTAGAGTGAATTAAACACAGTTTTATGTTTTACTGTTCTTCTTTCTTGGAAATGTGAAAATGCAGCCCTCTGTCAACAGCATTACCTGAGGACTGTGATTAGCATTTATTCAAACGGCAACACAAGCAAATCATCAACCAAACTGCCATTAGCGCTCACTGAAACACTGAATTAAACAATGCTACAGCTCAACAATGTCCTTTTGATCTTTGCAGAGAAGAAAACAAAGACTGGTAGAAGATAAGTGTTTTTCCCAAGGTGCGGAGTAAGTTCCCAAGGTAGCAGAACAAGTCAATAGCAGAGTCCAAACAAAAACTTTGCTCTCTCACCTTCTGCAGAGCTGTCTGGCAGAGTTCTGTTTGCCACAGGAGGACTTTGACATGTAAGGGTACTTCAAAGGGTCTGTGGGAAAACAGTATTCTGGGCAGCTATTCGGCTTTGCTGTTAAGATGCCACTTTGGATGCCCACATCTGAATTCAGAATGCCCAGGTGCAAGATTACATAACGATTTCAGCTTCTGCTAATGTAAACCCTGGGAGGCAGGGTATACAGTAAGTAGTTGGGTCCCTGTCACCACTTGGGACATGGCTTAAGTAGTTGGGTCTCTATAACCCACTTGGAATACCTGAATTGAGGTGTGTTTTTTTTTTTTTTTAGCATTCTTCCTGTTTTATTTTTCCTTTCTTTTTTTTCTTTTTTCTTTTTTTTTTTTTTGCTTTCAAACTTTTATTTAATGAATATAAATTTTCAAAGTACAGCTTATGGATTACAATGGCTTCCCCCCCAATAACATCCCTCCCACCCACAACCCTCCCCTTTCCCACTCCCTCTCCCCTTCCATTCACATCAAGATTCGTTTTTGTTTCTCTTTATACACAGAAGATCAGTTTAGCATACATTAAGTAAAGATTTCAACAGTTTGCTCCCACACAGAAACATAAAGTGAAAAATACTGTTTGAGTACTAGTTATAGCATTAAATCTCAATGTACAGCACACTAAGGACAAAGATCCTACATGAGGAGTAAGTGCACAGTGACTCCTGTTGTTGACTTAACAAATTGACACTCTTGTTTATGGCATCAGTAATCACCCTAGGCTCTTGTCATGAGCTGCCAAGGCTATGGAAGCCCCCTGAGTTCACTGACTCTGATCATATTTAGACAAGGCCATGGTCAAAGTGGAAGTTCTCTCCTCCCTTCAGAGAAAGGTACCTCCTTCTTAAATGACCCGTTCTTTCCACTGGGATCTCACTCACGGAGATCTTTCATTTAGGGTTTTTTTTTTCCCCCAGAGTGTCTTGGCTTTCCATGCCTGAAATACTCTCATGGGCTTTTCAGCCAGATCCGCATGCCTTAAGGGCTGATTATGAGGCCAGAGTGCTGTTTAGGACATCTGCCATTCTATGGGTCTGCTGTGTATCTCACTTCCCATGTTGGACCATTCTCTCCCTTTTTGATTCTATCAGCTAGTATTTGCAGACACTATTTTTGCTTATGTGATCCCTTTGGTTCTTAGTCCTATCATTATGATCAATTGTGAACAGAAATTGATCACTGGGACTAGTGAGATGGCATTGGTACATGCCACCTTGATGGGATTGAATTAGAATCCCCTGGTATGTTTCTAACTCTACCGTTTGAGGTAAGTCAGCTTGAGCATGTCCCGAATTGCACATCTCTTCCCTCTCTTATTCCCACTCTTACATTTACAGCGATCACTTTTCAGTTAATTTTCAGCACTTGAGAAGAATTGTGTATTGATTACAGTATTCAACCAAAAGTATTAAGTAGAACAAACAAACAAAAAATACTAAGAGGGATAACATATCAAGTTGCTCATCAACAGTCAGGGTGAGGGCTGATCAAGTCACTGTTTCTCATAGGGTTCATTTCACTTTAACAGGTTTCCTTTTTGGTGCTCAGTTAGTTGTCACCTATCAAGGAGAACAAGTGGTATTTGTCCTTTGGGATTGGCTTATTTCACTCAGCATAATGTTTTCCAAATTCCTAACAGGGATCACTTTTCAGTTAAAATTTGAACACCTAAGAATAATTGTGTGTTAATTACAGAGTTCAACCAATGGTACTAGAACAAAAAAAAATACTAAAATGGATAAAGTATTACATTGTACATCAACCGTCAGGACAAGAGCTGATCAAGTCACTGTTTCTCATAGTGTCCATTTCATTTCAACAAGTTTCCCCTTTGGTGCTCAGTTAGTAGTCGCCGATCAGGGAGAACATATGATATTTGTCCCTTTGGGACTGGCTCAATTCACTCAGCATGATGTTTTCCAAATTCCTCTATCTTGTTGCAAATAACCGGGTTTCGTTGTTTTTGACTGCTGTATAGTATTCTATAGAGTACATGTCCCATAATTTCTTTAACCAGTCTACTGTTGATGGGCATTTGGGTTGTTTTTTTTAAAAGATTTATTCATTTACTTGAAAAAGCTACATAGAGAAGGAGAGACAGAGAGAGAAAGGTCTTCCATCTGCTGGTTCACTCCGCAGTTGGCCACAATGGCCAGAGCTGTACCAATCCAAAGCCAGGAGCCAGGAGCTTCTTCTGGGTCTCCCACACGGTTGCAGGGGCCATCTTCCACTGCTTTTCCAGGCCATAGCAGAGAGCTGGATCAGAAGTGGAGCAGCCGGGACACGAACCAGTTGCCCATATGGTATGCTGGCACTGCAGGCGGCAGCTTCATCCGCTACACCACAGCGCCAGCCCCATAAACTGAGTTTCTCATTCCTAGCTTCAGCTGGCCCAGCCCTGGCTGTTGGAGACATTTGGGAGTGAATCAGCAGATGGAAAATGGATCTGTCAGTTATTTGGTCTCTCTTCAAATAAAATAAAAATATTTTTAATGGGCACATGACCTGAATGGACATTTATCAAATGAAGATATGCAAAGGACCAACAATTATGAGGGAATGCAAATCAAAATGACTATGAAATATCATTTGAATGGTTATTACCAAAAAGACAGAAAATAGAAAAAGCTGGTCAGGATGTAAAGAAAGGGGAACACTCAATGCTATTGGTAGCAACATAAATTAGTACAACCATTATGGAAACAGTATTAAAGTTCCTCAAAAACTAGGAATATCGGCGGCACTGTGGCATAGCAGGTTAGGCTGCCACCCACAGCACCTTAGCATCGCATGTGGGTGTCCCTGTTTAAGTCCCAGCTGCTCCACTTTCAATCTGGCTCCCTGCTAGTGTGTCTGGGATAGCAAAGGAGGATGGCCCAAGTGCTTGGCCCCCTGCACCCATGTAGGAGACCTGGCTGAGGCTCCTGGCTCCTGGCTTCAGCCTGGCCCAACCCAGCCACTGTGGCCATTTGGGGAGTGAACTAGCTGATGGTACAACCCCCCGCCCCCAACACACACACTCTCTCTCTCTCTCTCTCTCTCTCTCTCTAACTCTGCCTTTCAAATAAAAAATCTTTAAAAACAAATAACTAGAAATAGAACTGTCATATGATTTAGCAATCCCACTACTGGGTATATAGGCAAAGGAAATGAAATCAATATATCAAAGAGACTTCTGCAATCACATGTTTATTGCAGCACTGTGCACATTAGCAAAGAAACAGAATCAACCTAGGAGTCCACTGATGAACAAATGGATGAAGAAATATACAATGTACATACACAGAATACCATCGTCATAAAAATGAATGAAATTCTGTCATTTGTGACCACACAGATGAAACTGATGAACATCACGTTAAGTGAAATAATCCAGGTACAGAAAGACAAATGGTGTATGTTCTCACTTAAATGTAGGAGCTAACAAGTTGATCTTATAGAAGTAAAGCACAGAGTAGTCAGACTGTGTTTGAGTAAAGTCTAAGGGAGGGGTGATGGAAGAAGGATGGTTAACAGGTACAGGGGTATGGCCGAATAGGAGGAATAACTTCTAATATTCTACAGCACAGTAGAGTATCTATAGTTAACAATAATTGAATATTTTTAAAAAAACATAGTAGAGAGGATTTTGAATGTTCCCAATACAAAGAAATGATAAATGCATAAGATGACAGATTTGCCAGTTATTCTAGTCTGATCACTGCATCAATGTGTTGAAATGCCACACTATAACCCATAAATATGTATGATTTCCATGTGTCCATTAAAAACAGAATTTTAGGGGCTGGTGTTGTGGCACAGTGGGCTATGCTGCCAGCATCTCATGTGGGTGCCAGTTCAAGTCCAAACTGCTCCACTTCTAATCCAGCTCCCTCCTAATCTGCCTGGGAGGGCAGCAGAGGTGGTCCAAGTGTCTGGGCCCCTGCACCCATGTGGGAGACCTGGAGGAAGCTACTAGCTCCTGGCTTTGGCCTGTCCCAGTCCCTCAGTCCTCCTGTTGCAGCCATTTGGGGGGTAACCAGTGGATGGAAAACCTCTCTCTCTCTCTCTCTCTCTCTCTCTCTCTGTCTTTCCTTCTCTCTCTGCAACTCTGCTTTTCAAATAAATAAAATAAATCTTTTTAAAAAAACAGAGTTTTAAAAAATAACAAATCATAAAGGCAGAGAAAGATGGGAACTGTTACAGGTTGAGGTGACTAAAGAAGCACGACAACTAAATGGATTGGATCCTGGAACAGAAAAAATGGCATTATGAGGAAAACTGGTAAACCCTGAGTAATCTCTACAGTACAGTTAATAGCACTGTGCTAGGAATGGGTATTTAGCCTAGCAGTTATGCCCACATACATATTTGAGTAGCTGGGTTTCACTGATTCCCAGTTTTGGCTCCTACCTCCAGCTTCCTGTCAAGGCAGACCCTAAGGGGCAATGGTGATAACTCAAGTAATGAGGTTCTTGCCATCCCCAAGGGAGACCTGGATCCTAGATTAAGTTCCTGGTTTCCAGCTCTGGTCTGTGCCCAGCCCCAGCCATTGTGTACCAGTAGATAGGGGGTATATCCCTTCCTTCCCACTCCCTCCCTTTCTGACTCTCAAATAAAAAATGTTTTTAATAGCATTATGCCAAAACAATTGAAAATTGTTTTTTATGGTTATGTTGATGTTAACAAAAGGAGAGGCAAAGAGAAGGGTATTCTGGGAATATCATTGAAAGTCTAAAATCTAAAATCTAAAATTATGTACCAAAAAAAAAAAAAAAACAACCGGAAGAAGGATAAAGAAGGGAGAGAGAGAGGAAGAGGAAGAAAAGAGAGGGAGATACAGGGAGATAGTGAGAGAGAAAGGAAAATCGTGAAAAAAAAAAAAACAGCAAATATTTACTCTTTTTCCAGGATCACAATAGTCTGTATTTTCCAAAATTCCTTTCAGTGAGGTATTGCCATGTGACTGAATTTTAGCCAATAAAATACGGGCAGAAATTCTGTGTGCCATGTCCAGGCTAAGACTTTCTAAAAGGAGGTTTAGTCTCCCCCATCTCTCCTTACGCTTTCACCAGCCAGACATAATAATGCCTGGAGCAGTGGTGGAAGAGGGCACTACATGGAAGAAACCAGAGGAAAAACACCTGCCAATGAAGAACACCCATCTCAACCTCTTGCATACACAAATACTAGAACTACACCATTAGCCATTTGAATAATCTATTTTTCACCACTAAACCATATTTATTACCTTTTTAGCCCTTATTTCTCAGTATCATCAAGGTATGGTGCAACTTTTATTCAAAATGTTTATATCCATCACAAGAGCTGGTGCATACCAATCATAAACGTGGCCAGTACAAAGATGTGCTGATTGCAGTATTTAGCAAATAGATAAGCTGAACATTTATGAAATCTTCATTGCATGACTGAAGTCTACTGGGACACAACCAGTCACGAAAGAATATTGTTTTACTTATAAAAACTGAACCAAGTAGATCATCTATATGCCACTCTGGTAAAGGAGAAAAAACAGCGCTTTTAAGTTCTAAAAAATGTTCCCCATCCCTATGCTATCTTCCTTTCTTAATTAAACATAATTAGGACATACAAACATTTTTATTTGCCAATGGCCAGGCTTATAACCTAAATACTCACTAACTTTTGAGGCACAGGCACTGATCAATCACAGCAAAAGTAATTCGTATGGCCACACCACTGTGTGTTAAATGAATATCAGTCTTTCCAATGGATACTACAAGGCAACAAGTTTATAGAAAACAGTTAAGAGTGCAAACCCTGAAGTAATCATTCAGGGCAATTGAATGATCATTGGGCAACCATTCAACTGGGAAAGACTGATAATGCCATGTTGGGCAACTCTCATTACTTCTTTGAAATGTCTAACAGTAAGAGGAGTGAGCCTTGTTTTCATTATGCAAATATTTCTTATCTAATGCTCAACTTTCAGACAGCCACTGATATCAGAGATCTATGAGAATGTCTTGCTATATATCAGACCAAGAGTCAACAAGGCATACAGGACTTAGATACTTACCTCAAAGATTTAACAATCTAATGACTCATTCCAGCTAACAAGTATATAAGGAAAACTAAATAAAGGGGAAAAATATTTTTTATGGTACCCTGATAACAATATGGGGAAATCACCTTACTAGCCCCACAGATTAAACAGTAAGTATTTACTTGAAATTCCACATTTTTGTGATAAAACAATCAATACATACCTTCACTGTTCCCATATCCCACAATGACTCACTCTGTATAAACAGTCTTCTTAGGAAAAAACCTAATCTGCAACTGAACTTTTAAAATTTATGTATTTAATAGTTATAATTAAATTACACAGTTGTTCACAGATATTCGGGAGAAAGAGTCTACCATAAGAATTTAAAACATGTAGAAAACTTCAAGCCTCAGGCTGAAATTGAGTGCCTACAAGAATATAAGTATTTATCATATATTTCTGCAATGTACTTACCACTCAATTCCATATTCTAAGAATATTCCTCTAGAGTTGGCAAACTTTTCAGGTAAAGGGTCAAAATATTTTAGGTTCTGCAAGTCCACAAGGAAAAAAATCAAAGATACCATGTAGGTATTTATATACCAAGCAATAAATAAATTTCCAAAACTTACGGGTAAAATTCAAAATATAAAAAAAATTTTGAGTATTTTTTTCCAATATAGGTCCACTAACAATAAAAAATAATTTTTATTTGGAAGTAACAATTTGCTTAAGTGAGGTTCAAAGATAGTTTTCCTTAACAAAATCTATTACAAGTGTTCATTAACAAATGCTGATCAGTTATATATTTCATCTTTGAAAGTGTCTTTTCACACAGGTAATACCAAATATGGACAACAACCCAAAAGCTTATTTGTTTAGTTGAAAACATTTACCATTTGAAAGTATTCATAGATTTCTATTGGATTCCTTTTTTGGTATTTGCTTTTTAGTATGTCATCATCTTAATCACCTCCAATTGAAGGTAAATGAAAGCTCCTGAATTGCATAGTTAAATGTATTTTTACATATGGAAATCTTCCTTGTATTTGAATTGAGATCCAAAAGTGCTGTTGAAACTGTAATTGTATCTTAGAAAACATAGCCTTGGCAAGTTGTATGTGAATGGAGAATTCACTTCTTTTAACATTAGGAAGCATGGGAACTGTTTCTGTTAGTTGTGATTCAAATACTAGCTGTCATCAAAGATGACTTTACCACAGTGCAAGATTTTCATTTGTTGCTTCACCTTGTAACTTCAGCTTGAATATCATTTAAAAATGTTATGAAGTCTTTCTCAAAAGTTAATTTTCAAAGCCATTCAGTGTTCTATATTGGTTGAGGCTGGTTATTCTTATTCAGAAAAAAATGTCACTTTTGCCCTAAGCTCAAAAATCACAATAAAACTTTACCACTGCTAAGCTGTCAAACTCCTGTGTGGTCAGACAAGAGAAGATTCAGCTTCTATTTCTGACCCAAAAAAATTCACAGAACTGATAGTGGCTAAGTCCAAAAGAGCAAATGAAAGTTCACTGTTGATGCTGCTGGTTTAGTAACACTTGGTAGACTCAAATATTTTCTGCAAAGCACCTGCTAATGAAAATACCATAGTGTACATTTTCACAAGATTTGTAAATTTGTCCAGCAAGTTCTTCCTGTTTCACACATATTTGTACCACTATTAGCTACACCTTAGCAGATTCCATCTCAGGTTTTCTGATTAATTTTTTATCAACTTTTTAAAAATAGTTCCTTCATAATTATTATACATACACTATTTATAGATGTAATTCTCTGACACTATAAACTTGGCACTTACTTCTGAAATGAAAAAAAAACTGATCAATATAAGCAACACCTGTTGGCACATCAAGAAAAAAAAACCATTGAAATTCTTCAGCCTGCTTTTTAATTGACTATTGATGTAACTTTCAATGTCTTCAACTCTTTGAGCAATTATTTTCCCCAAAAGGCTAACAGTTTTAAACAAGTTTATTTTCTCTGCACATGTTCCTTCAGTTGCTTCAATTAACCATGGTTTAAGTAATCCATCACCAATAAACAAGATTTCCTTACTTGGTTAACAAGTCAGCTACCCAAAACATATTGTGCTTTCAGCCTCACTTCAATACATTTTTGTGAAGAAATTTCACAGTGATAATTTTAAGTTTTCTAATTTGACCATTGCTTTCCTGTAATTTGAGAACACTGTGATAAAACCCTAGCCAGTAATGTTAATGTATATTGTATTCTTTCAGCACAGCTTTGGTGTCATCACATAACAAACAGAATGTTTTGACATATAATTCAATAACAAAATAATCTACCACTGTGCCTAAAAGTATGACATTTGAAGTTCACGATCCCCTTCTTGTTTTGACTTGCATAGATATATACTAGCAATAAAAAAAAAAATTTAGTCACGGTACAGGGATGTGCACAGCAGCAGAAAGTGACAAAAGCACCATAGTAACTGCCAAAGGTAGTGAGAAATCAGCCATAGAAAATACTTAGATCAGCTCTTGTCCTGACGGTTGATGTACAATGTAATACTTTATCCATTTTAGTATTTTTTTTGTTCTAGTACCATTGGTTGAACTCTGTAATTAACACACAATTGTTCTTAGGTGTTTAAATTTTAACTGAAAAGTGATCCCTGTTAGGAATTTGGAAAACATCATGTTGAGTGAAATAAGCCAATCCCAAAGGGACAAATACCACTTGTTCTCCTTGATAGGTGACAACTAACTGAGCACCAAAAAGGAAACCTGTTAAAGTGAAATGAACCCTATGAGAAACGGTGACTTGATCAGCCCTCACCCTGACTGTTGATGAGCAACTTGATATGTTATCCCTCTTAGTATTTTTTTTGTTTGTTCTACTTAATACTTTTGGTTGAATACTGTAATCAATACACAATTCTTCTCAAGTGCTGAAACTTAACTGAAAAGTGATCGCTGTTAAATATAAGAGTGGGACTAAGAGAGGGAAGAGATGTGCAATTCGGGACATGCTCAAGCTGACTTGCCTCAAACGGTAGAGTTAGAAACATACCAGGGGATTCGAATTCAATCCCATCAAGGTGGCATGTACCAATGCCATCTCACTAGTCCCAGTGATCAATTTCTGTTCACAATTGATCATAATGATAGGACTAAGAACCAAAGGGATCACATAAACAAAAATAGTGTCTGCAAATACTAGCTGATAGAATCAAAAAGGGAGAGAATGGTCCAACATGGGAAGTGAGATACACAGCAGACCCATAGAATGGCAGATGTCTTAACAGCACTCTGGCCTCATAATCAGCCCTTAAGGCATGCGGATCCAGCTGAAAAGCCCATGAGAGTATTTCAGGCATGGAAAGCCAAGACACTCTGGGGGAAAAAAAAAAACCCTAAATGAAAGATCTCCGTGAGTGAGATCCCAGTGGAAAGAACGGGTCATCAAAGAAGGAGGTACCTTTCTCTGAAGGGAGGAGAGAACTTCCACTTTGACCATGGCCTTGTCTAAATATGATCAGAGTCAGTGAACTCAGGGGCTTCCATAGCCTTGGCAGCTCATGACAAGAGCCTAGGGTGATTACTGATGCCATAAACAAGAGTGTCAATTTGTTAAGTCAACAACAGGAGTCACTGTGCACTTACTCCTCATGTAGGATCTTTGTCCTTAGTGTGCTGTACATTGAGATTTAATGCTATAACTAGTACTCAAACAGTATTTTCCACTTTATGTTTCTGTGTGGGAGCAAACTGTTGAAATCTTTACTTAATGTATGCTAAACTGATCTTCTGTGTATAAAGAGAAACAAAAACGAATCTTGATGTGAATGGAAGGGGAGAGGGAGTGGGAAAGGGGAGGGTTGCGGGTGGGAGGGACGTTATGGGGGGGAAGCCATTGTAATCCATATTCTGTACTTTGGAAATTTATATTCATAAAATAAAAGTTAAAAAAAAGCAAAAACAACAAAAAAATATAGACAACAGCTACAAACAATAATTGAATGTATAAATGACCATTTCACCCATATACAGCTTTTTTGTCAATTAGTCATTCATAATTTATTTCAATGAAATATGAGTGATGACAATGTAACATCTAAATTTTCGTGTGTGATTATAAAATAATAAAGTTCATTAAGACTTTAAGTCATTTATTCTCAACAGTTTATGCACAAGTATAATTTTATATAGATTGCAATATAAATAATTGTACATTATATTTTTTGTTCTCTATTAGTAGCCACAGATCAGGGAAATTATATGATATTTATGATATTTGTCTTTTGTCTGGGTATTAATCTTCTATCAGATGCATAGTTTGCAAATATTTTCTTCCACTCTGTTTGTTGTCTCTTCACTCTTTGGTTTCCTATGCTGCTGCTTCATATATACCTTTAATATGCATGTGTTAATGTATACTAACATATACCCAAATAAATCAATTACAAAGAAAAAAAAAAGAAAATACTTAAATGGAGACCAGCATTGTGGCACAGAGGGTTAAGCTGCCACCTGCAATACTAACATCCCATATGAGCACCAGTTTAAAACCTGGAGACTCCATTTCCGATCAAGCTTCCTGCTAATGTGTCTGGGAAGGCAGCAGGTGATGGTCTAAGTGCTTTATCTCCTATCACCCACATAGAGACCTAGATAAAATTTCAGAATCCTGGCTTCAGGCTTAACCAGCCCAATCCATTGCAGTCATTTGGGAAAAGAACCAGGGGATAAAGAATCTCTCTGTCTCTCACTCTTTCTGTAACTCTGCCTTTCAAATAAATCCGGAAAAAAAAAAAAAGAAAAAACTTAATTGAATGAATGTTCCAATATAACTTTCTTTATGGACACTAAAGTTTTAAATTGATATAAATCTTATGTCATAAGGTATTATTCCTTTTTTTTTTTTAGCCATTTAAAAATGTAAAACAGCCTTAGCTGGCAGGATATACCAAACAATGGCAGCAAAGCTAGATGCAGCCTGTGGGCTATAATTTGCCTATTCCTACTCCAGCAGTCAGATCTTACTTCTTCCTACTCCTAGATTCAAGACCTGTCGTCATTTAGAAAAGCTTGTGGTTAGAATCAATTAGTCATCATTTACTGGCTTCTCATCCAGGCAGGGTGGATCTCACTTTACTACAGGGATGGTTAATTTCCACTAGAAGGCTAATAATACAGTTTCAGAAAAAACAGTGGTTAACCACTTTGAATTAAACCAAACACTTTTGGAAAACTCACTAGTGGTGTTTTAATTTCAATCTTCATTTGGATTCTGACAATATCAAAAGCATTCCTACATTGCCCCTACTTTTCTTCCAGTATCAGAATGTGTAGTCCTGAAACAAGATGCTGTTCAAATTATAGAATCAGATATCTGGGTTACTTTCATCTGCTAAACATGGAGACTTTGGCTCATCCTTGACAAGCGAAGTCTTCCTTCCATTGGCAGGAAAGACCTTAGCACATATTTGTTGCTAAGAGTTTGTACTGTTATCATCTTACTTGAGATCATGGGTCAGAGCATGCTGCATTTCAGAACCTAAAAATGGGCTGCAAGGAGTCCAGCTCTAGTATTACAATTCGATATCTGTTTAATATAATGACAATATCAAAGTTTGGATTTCAGCCCTTTTTCGGTCTCTTTCTTTCTCTTTCCCCACACCACATCTTCTCTTTTGTCTTTGACTTAAAATAGAGATGTTGGAGAGGCTACATCACTGGTTTAGTCTATTAACTGAATTTACTTGAAATATGTGTATCCAGGAGGAGGCCTCAGCATAAGAAATAATAAGTGTGTATCCCATGGACCACTACCCTTAGACTGAAGATTCAAAGCCAATTATACACCCTACATTCTCAAGGGCCACCCCTTTTACTGACAAATGCATGTGCTAAGGTTCAAACATCCTTCCATTATGTGAGTGTGAGGAGGATAACCAAGAAGAGGCGGTCCTTGGGCCCTGCATCCGCATGGGAGACCAGGAGGAAGCACCTGGCTCCTGGCTTTGAATCAGCGCAGCGCACCAGCCACAGCGCACCAACCGTAGTGGCCATTTGTGGGGTGAACCAACAGAAAAAGGAAGACCTTTCTCTCTGTCTCTCTCTCTCTCTCACTGTCTAACTCTGCCTGTCAAAAAAATTTTAAAAAAAGAAGAGGCCTCCTATAATATAAGTTTAACAGTATCCAAAAGGAATCCTGGGGCCGAAGCACTCTCAAGGTAGGGGAAAAGAATTGGAGCCAGGGTCTTAAGTCTAAAGAATCATCTAATTTACAGAATGGAGAAAGGTGCCCTCCAGTGGTGGTGGGGAGGAAGTTTAACAGCTCTCATTAACACAGACCTATGACTAGTTCTACAAATATGTATTGCAAAATAGGCAGCTGGGTATCAGCTAGCAGTCATAATCAGCTGAAATCCTGACACCGCCTACTAGCATAATTCTGCCTGTGAGTAATGGCTAACACAGCTCACTTTGTGCCAGGAACTGTGCTAGACAAGCACTTCGCTGGAATTACTCAAGCTTTACAACTGTGTGAGTTAAGTCCAATTAGCTCCATTTTAGAAATCAAACCCCAGAGTTTCAACATGCCCTAGATACCCTAGCCAATACAAGAATAAGAATGCTATTCAAATCTTAAACCTTCCTAAGAAATCTAACCCATAAAACAATGCATACGCACAAAGAGACACACAAAGAGAAGAGCTACAGAAATCTGGGGACAACTGGTAAAATTTGTTCATTTCTTTCATCTAACAGCTTTTTAAAAAACATTTTACTGGAAGTTCCAAGATGGCGGAGTAGGGAGGGAGACTACTGCTCTGGTCTAAGAGATGTTAGCTTAAAAAAAGAGAGTGCACTCTCAGGAAAGAGTTAGGGAGAAAATGGCAAAGGAAATTCTATGCAAGTTAGAGGGACACAGTAGACCTACATGGAGGGTGCGGATGTCCATGGCTCAGGACTCGAGCAGCTGAGAGCTTCCACACCCACGTGGGAGAGAGAGGTGAGACCTGACTGTGGCAGCCCATACCACTTGCACTTGCGCCCAGCAATCAGCCAAGTGGAAACTCCTGACTCTGGTGGGTAGAACTAACAGGGAGCTGAGTGCTCATGACTGTGGGAGGCTTGTGTGTCAGAACTGTGGAAAAAAAAAAAACACTGAGGCTGGGTGGGAGGACTTTGGGCAGTCACTGTGGGAAACTCCACATGCTCAGGGTTTTCTAGTTACCTAGTAAGGAGCATTGCCGGAGAATTTGAGCTTACACTGAAGACCAAACAAATCCTTTGTGTGCTCCTTGAGACAGAGCAAATGAATATTACACCCACTGGGGCTAGGGCTCAGGCCCTGTTTTTTGAGAAGAGCTCAGCTGAGAAGAATAAATCATTAAATAAAGAGAGAGAGAGAGAGAGAGAGAGAGAGGGAGAGAGAGAGATTGATTTACCAAGCCAAACCTGGGTGTGTCACCTCAGATATGCCTTTCATCCTGAAGAACTGAACAGAGCTCCCTGGCCACATCCACCACATGCCTCTAAATATTCACTGAAATCACTCCACATATCTACAGAGGCATATTACACAGATAAAAGCTGCCACAGCAGAAAAAAAAAAAAGAATAAACCAATGAGTATCTCTACAAATGCTGAATAAAAATCTCACCAGTTCAAGAAACAAGAATAAGAAAGACAACATGACACCCGCAAAAGAACAAAACACTTCAATACTAGATTGTAAAGATGAAGAGATTGAAGAAATGCCAGAAATGAAATTGAAAACATGGATCA